TGTGACCCCTAAAATAATTATCAAAGCTGCCTTTGCCCAAGGATAACTAGATTGACGCTTGACTCAGGTCGCATAAAAATCACAACTGTTTCAAATTCCGACTCATTTGCATTTTGCTTCTCTTTTGAACACATACAGTCTCACGGTCCCTGGCAATTTGTTTATAATCATCATGACAATTTAACATTCTGCAGCATTTCACAGAAATCCATGACATAAGAGTATGAATGCAAACATATTTTTTAAAAAAGCCCTCAGGTGGTTGTTAATTTTTGGCACTGTGTAATTAAACTAGTTTTTTTTTTTCATGTTATCTTTTGCCAGTATCTAATTAGCAAAGCCATCTGCTGAAAGAGTGTTGGCCCATCTGCCTAAAATGTTGTTCTCTTCATTTTTATGAAAAGTATCTGCCTTTGCTGGTCCCGGTCTAATTAACTTCTCTGTCTGCAGAATGTGATAATACACAGCTTTGTTTATATACTTCCACGAACTGTGGATTTATATGTATGTAACTCGTCTGTAAAAGGAGCCAATCTTTTTTTTTTTCTTTCTCCCATCCTATTTACTTCTGAGATCACAGTTCTGTTAATCATAACCAGAACATGTGTGTGTGTGCGCGACAGGGAAGTAAACTGTATCGTGAAACCATAAATGCTTTGACACACCCAGGATTTCTGCAGGTATAACATGATTTTTGGTAAACCTGCTCTCTCTGAAAGTTCTGTCACTTCCTGAAAGTTAAAGGTGTTGTAAGTTTCAGTGTACCACTGGATTCTGGATGAACATGCTTCTGTAATAACGAAAATGACCTTGGATGCATTCTCAGATTTAGCCTGGTGCTGACTAGGCTGACAGAAGTCACTTAAATTTTATTGTAAATTAATGTCTGATTTGTGTGAATATTATCTCTCTGTGTGTTTTTCCTTATTTCATTCATTATCTATTGGTGTCTTGCACTTGGTCGGTATTTAATGAATATTAAATGAGAGAGTGGTAAATGTGTGTGCATAAAGCAACACTTCTGTAAGTTGTTGAATAGCATAGATATTATTTCTAACTATTTACAGACAAAAAAAGTCGCAAACTGGAATCTTTGTGTCTTTTAAGATGTAGATATTTCAAACTCATTGCCTTTGGATATTCGAGTAATCACATTATCACTGCAACACGTCTGCTGTTGAAAAATGTAACGAAGACTAAATACAGAATAGAGTCAAACATTTAGATACCTTTTCTCTACCAGGTCTTATGCTGCAGAAAAAGACAAAGAGATGACAAAAATTTAAGGATGTGAAAGAAACAAAGATAGAAAATAAGATCACAAGTGTTGCATCGAGGGCTGAGTGCAACAGACCTAGAATGTATGTAGAATGTAGACCCAGAATGTAGACACAGAATGCCTTAGCCTTTGTGGTGACTGTCATAAAGGCAGGTTTGCATGGGTAGAAAGTGTCTCAAAATGCAAGGCAACCAGAAAGATGGCTTCATAAATCATAGTGGAATTTGTTCCAAAAGTATCAAAAAATTTCATTCTGCACAATAAATCTCCATTGAAATTAGAGATGGCTTGATTTTTAAAAATTTATGAATCTTATAGAATAAAGAAAAGTTGTTACCAGGCTAAAATGTAATCTAATTCAAGCAAAATAATTGAGAAACTTGGAGAAATCTGATCCTGGAGAGTCCCACTGAAATTCATATTTCTCTCCAGTGAAAGTGTCTTTACCCATTGATGCGACCAGCTCATACAGGTAAAGTCTAGTTTGCTGAATGAGTGAAAAATAAGGGGCTCGGTGCACTGGGAAGACCCAGAGGAATCGGGTGGAGAGGGAGGTGGGAGGGGGAATCGGGATGGGGAATACATGTAAATCCATGGCTGATTCATGTCAATGTATGACAAAAACCACTACAATATTGTAAAGTAATTAGCCTCTAACTAATAAAAATAAATGGAAAAAAAATAAATAGAATACAAGAGTGAAAAAAAAAATAAGGGGCTCATCTGGAACACCCAATTTTAGGCCAATCTGGAAAAGATACATTTCGCTACTCCATTCTTTATCAAATTCTGTGATATCCAATCACATGTGTTCAATTCTACAAAAGATAGTTCATTTCTCTTCTTAATATAATTTCCCTTTATCCTGTCTTCTCGTCAGGGTGAAAGTGAATCAACAGAATAGCTATATAATCATAGTCTTTAATTAATTCTGGATTTGAATATTATTGGAAACTTGATATACTGTAATAAAAATGCCACAGGAAAGCAATTTTGCTACTTTTAATAACTGTCTTCAAAAACATCTGTAAGATTTTTTCCATTTTCTGTTGGTCTAATAAACTTATGTGAGCAGTTGCTCTTTCTGGGTAAACTGGATAAAGTAGTGACATATATTCAAGAACTGTCACAATTTTTTTTTTTTTCTATTACTGTCCCCTTCCAATCCTTGGCCAGAGTTTATCTTGAAAATGCAAAGGCTACTTGGATGTTAGGAAAACATGGGAAGCTGATTGTTTGCCATTTCATCAGAAGGATTTGACTTTTGATAGCATTTGATAAATATTCTTCCTGTAGCTCTGGCACTAACTGCTTCTTTCAGCTCTTAAGTTTACTGACGAGTGCAGTACTGTTTAACTTTCAACAAATTCACTAGACAAGCGAGAGCCACTAGGAATGCCCCATTATCTAAAGCATTTTACTGAGTAATTTGCCTAGCAATTATGCAGCACAAATCCTTTGTGATATATAACTCTGAGTCCCCTTGATAATATAATATGCAAGTTATACCAGGGTCTACTTGACTAAAGACTGTATCATAGTGTGGGCTTGCCTGGTTGCTCTTGTGAAGAACCCGCCGGTCAATGCAGGAGACACAAGTTCGACCCTGGGTCGGGAAGATCCCCTGGAGAAGGAAGTGGTGACCTACTTGCCTGGGAAGTATCAGGGACAGAAGGAGCCTGAAGGGCTATGGTCTATGGAGTCACAGAGGAGTCAGATATAACTTAGGGACTAAGCAACAACTGTAATATCATAGTATATCATTTCTTTTTTGAGTTTGAGTAAGGGTGAAGGCGGGACTTCCCTGGTGGCTCAGATTGTAAAGAATCCGCCTGCAATGCAGGAGACCCAGGTTTGATCCCTGGGTCAGGAAGATCCCCTGGAGAAGGGAACGGCAACCCACTGCAGTATTCTTGGCTGGAGAATCCCATGGACACAGTCCATGGGATGGCAAAGATTCAGACAAGACTGAACAACTAAACACATAAACATGCCCTCACCTTAGAAAGTGTGAAGACATGCATATCTTTATTTCCATGAAAACAACAGGATGAGCTTTTATACAGAGGTCTGCTAAAGGAACACTCCACTCAAAACTGCAGCAATGCACTTCTTTTATCTGTGCTTCCTGGGGATATATAATTATGCAACTGTATGTGAAGCTCTTATCTCTTCTCTGAGGTGTCATCACTTCTCATAAAAGGATCTGTCTCTCTAGTGTGAAATTCAAGTCATTTGTTTGCATTAGATGCTAATTAGCTCTAACCTTCTTTGTGCCATTAAACATTATGAACAGGAAAACATCACAGGAAGAAAGAACAAATTCTTTCCTCAGATGTTGACACGGACAAAAATCTCTAAGTCTGCACAGGGGAAAACAGTTATAGTATTGTTTCTGTTTGAAAGGCCCTTAAGTGGTTCTCTCTAGAACACTTTTCTTGTGGATTCATATTTGATAAGCAAGATAAGATTTGGAAAATGTGGTGTTTTATGTTTTAATCTCTTATGTAACATTCTTTGGAGAACAGTAGATGTTAGATAATGGTGTTGATATGACTTTTGTTATTTTCCTCAGTTCAGAAGAGTTAGAGAAAAAAAAACATTCTTTTTAAAAGTAAGAGTGAAGCCTTTATTCTCTTGCATAATATCTAGCATTAGTATTTTTTCACTTAGTTTATTATGTAGCAGTAATCCAAACTAACAACAAATTGTCCCTCACTTCAATTTTTTTTTTTTTTTCTGGTAATGATTCATCTGGTTCTTCAGAACTCTTGAATTCTTCAGAAATCCAACTGTAACAGGAAAATAGGACAATATTGTGATGACAGACGGACAGAATAAAGGAAAGATTTAGGCCCTATGAAAGTACACATTCCATAAAATAGTAGAAAATATAAATACCGCAGATGCTTAAATCTGTTCAAAATATGATTCCCAATCTCAACATACCAGCCATTAAAGCTTGCAAGCATCATTTCTTCCTGTGAAGTAAGTGCTGTGCATTATCTTGACTAAGCACAGGTCCACTTGTGAGTTAGCATCAGGTGTCAAAGGATGCATATCAAATTGATCAGTGTGAGTTAGATCTGGAAAGTGAGGGAAGAAATTTAGAAGCTGTAGCTCTCAGTATTTAGTGGGAGCTAATGAGAGTATGGAAATTAGTGGCTTTGGAAGGAAATAGTAGCTGGGCTTTGCACGAGCTGCTTATTTTATTGACTATTCATCATCTATATGTGTGTTTGGGGAGTAGGGATACACTCAGTCAACCTCGCTTCATTATCTATGAATATTGATAAATGACAGACTATTAAGATATACATGTCTACATGAGGATTTAGATCGGTTTGTTTCAAGGCTTCTGTTTTCAGCATCTTAAGAATCTATTCCGTGATGCACTGAAGTGAGTGTTTCTGTCATCACTGCATCAGAGTCACTGACTCATAGCGTGTGCCTGTCTTATGGCGATGTTTGAAATATCACATTATTGCTGCATAAATGAAAATACTTAGGGGATGAGTCCTTTAAAATGCTTCCCTTTGAAAGCTCAGTGTAAACCCACATGACCGGATGACGTGCATCCTGTGTAAACTTTGTGACTGTGAAAATGTTGGGTGCCGTGGCCTCTCTGTGTCACCCCTTCTGGGTACCAGTGCCTTATTGCTTGTTTTCCTCTTATTAAGTCACGTCCTAACAGTTGCTGTCACGCTGGTGTTTCTTACAGGCTGTGGAGTGGGAGTGTGACGAAGCAACCAAGAAGGCCTGTTACAGCAAAGGCAAGTCCCAGGTAAGGAGGGCGCTGTCACGGGCATGTCATCACTGACTTGAAGGCCAGTATGTAGAATATTTTAATATGAAGGTTACTCCTGGTTATGGTGCCATGGAAACTGAAAAATGATTCAAAATACACACACAGGAAATTCTCAAGTTTCTACCATTTAAAAGTGAGATGAACGATAGTCAGTTGTTAGGACTCAGAGCATAGCAGATCTAATTTGCCCTCCCAGTCATTAGAATGAGACATGAAATTAATTGGTTATGATGTTATTTAGAAAAATATGGACCTTAATTTTGAAAATACTATTTTAATTCCCCCTAATCATTCCTGATGGGCTTCCTGGATGGCTCAGTGGTTCAAAGAATCTTCCTGCAATACAAGAGACACAGCTTTGATCTCTGGGTTGGAAAGGTTCCCTGGAGGAGCAAATGGCAACCCATTCCATTATTCTTGCCTGGAAAATTCCATCGACAGTGGAGTCTGGGAGGCTACAGTCCTTGGAGCCACAAAGGGTTGGACACAACTGAACAGATGAGCGCAGCACAGTGATCATACCTTGCAGCTCACTCAAGGAAGTGCTTACATAATAAATCTAATTATTGGATCAAAAATGATTTGAGATTTTTAAATAATGTATCTTAACATATCTTTATATGTTAAATAAAATATAGGGCTTTCCCTAGTAGCTCAGATGGTAAAGCATCTGCCTGCAATGCAAGAGACGTGGGTTTGATCCTTGGGTCGGGAGGATCCCCTGGAGAAGGGAATGGCTACCCACTCCAGTATTCTTGCCTGGAGAATCCCAGGCACAGAGGAGCCTGGTGGGCTACAGTCCACAGGGTCACAAAGAGTCAGACATGACTGAGTGACTAATACACACATCTTTAAAATGAGCTCTCTCTCTCTGTCTCCGAATGAATATCTACATCCTCAAGTTCCCAAGGAAAGATTATCGCTAAGGTTGGAGATACATTTTGTGAATTCCTGTGCACATCACACGTCTTGTGGTTCAGTCACTCAGTCGTGACCCCACGGACTGTAGCACGCCAGGCCTCCCTGTCCTTCACCGTCTCCCGGAGTTTGCTTAAACTCATGTCCATTGAGTCGGTGATGCCATCCAACCATCTCATCCTCCGTCATCTCCTTCTCCTCCTGACATCAATCTTTCCCAGCATCAGGGTCTTTTCTAAAGAGTTGGCTCTTTGCTTCAGGTGGCCAAAGTATTGGAGTTTCAGCTTCAGCATCAGACCTTCCAACGAGTATACAGGGTTGATTTCCTTGAGGGTTGACCGGCTTAATCTCCTTGCTGTCCAAGGGACTCTCAAGAGTGTTCTCCAGCACCACAGTTCAAAAGCATTAATTCTTCAATCTACCTTCACACAACTGGTCAGCTCAGTAAGAGGCCTGAATCCTTTTTCCAAGGAATTTTATATTTTGAAAAAATCACACTGGCTCATCCTGAAGGCATTCTTCTGCAGCTGATCCCTAAGCTCATGATGTTTCATTCTGTTGAAAGAAAGTGAAGCCACTTAGTCGTGTCCAACTCTTTGCAACCCCATGGACTGTAGCCTGCCAGTCTCCTCTGTCCATGGGATTTCCCAGTCAAGAATACTGGAGTCGGTTGCCATTCCCCTCTCCAGGGGATCTTCCTGACCCAGGGATCGAACCTGGCTCTCCAGCATTGCAGGCAGACTCGTTACTGTCTGAACGATCAGGGATCGTTCTGTTAGTGATTGTCTTACTTTACTGGAATGTGGGCCTTTCTGATGTGTACCACACTTAGGTTACAGAAGAAGCGGACACACAGCGGCAGAGAGGGCTCTCTGTGCAAAGTGTGGTCCCAAGGCCAGGAGCTTGGGAGACACACAGCAAATGGAGAGAGGGCGCTGATGAAGCATCCTCACACCACCTGTGTTTGTCCAAGACTGCTGCACACTTTATTTTATCCAGTTTCATCCCCTGTTTCTTTGTCTTTTAAATCAGCAGTTCTGAGAGACATGCACGGAGGTGAGTCTCAGCACACTTAGTCATTTGGTTTCCCAAAAATGAGGAAAGAGCTAGAAAGAAGGAAGAGGAGGAAGAAAATGCCAACTTAGCTAGAGAAACAATTGGAGACGTTGATAAAAAGCCAAAGTTGCTGAAGGCTATTTACTGAAAGTTATATTTAACCTCAAAAATTCCTCTGAGATAAGTCATCAGAGACACAGATGATTTAAAGGTAGCACCAAGTTCCAAAGAATCAGACTAGTGTCTCTTAAAATTCCCGCCAAAATAAATGAATCAGAACATAGTAAATTTATTTACCTCTGTAATAAATTCAATGGAATTTGTATATATTATATATAAAGCTTTTGAAAAGGGGTTTCTATATGCCTTTCCTCTCTGCCCTCTAACACATACACATCTGATGGGTGGATTCCTGCGCTTTTGTTCCTTACTCCTTGGCACATAAGAAATGCTTCAAGGAAGACCCTCTGTATTGAACAGTGAAACAAATCAGCTTGGGTGTGAGGGCTGGAAACACGACTTTCTTTCTTCTGGCAAGATCCACGGATGGGAAACACTGGCCGCTCTGGCCATGGTTCTCAGATCAGCGCTGTCCCTTGTCTGGTGACACTGGTGACCCCAGGGCCCCCGGGCTTTCTTCTCCCTCTTCAGTTCAGTTCAGTCACTCAATCGTGTCCTACTCTTTGGGACCCCATGGACTGCAGCACACCAGGCCTCCCTGTCCATCACCAACTCCCGGAGCTTACTCATGTCCATTGAGTCGGTGATGCCATCCAACCATCTCATCCTCTGTCATCCCCTACTTCTCCTGCCTTCAGTCTTTCCCAGCATCAGGGTCTTTTCAAATGAGTCAGCTCTTCACATCAGGTGGCCAAAGTATTAGAGCTTCAGCTTCAACATCAGTCCTTCCAAGGAACACTCACGACTGATCTCCTTTAGGACGGACTGGTTGGATCTCCTTGCAGTCTTCTCCAACACTACAGTTCAAAAGCATCAATTCTTTGGTGCTCAGCTTTCTTTATGGTCCACCTCTCACATCCAGACATGACTACTGGGAAAACCTTTTACTTGTCCCCTTTTTCCTCCTTTATTGTCTGTCTTCATCTCCCTCTAGGACTTTGGATCTTTCTCCTCCTCTTCCTGCTTGCTAGGGCTATGATACACCCATGAGCAGCCCTAGTCAGCTTTGGGAAACCTAGCCAAAAATCCTGTTGACACGTGCCTGTCCTAAGGCTTGTCTGACAACATGTGTGGTTGGTAGCCCTGGGTCTGGGGTGGCTGTGCCCTCCTCTGCCTCTAGGGCTCCATGCTAACCCTTCCCACCTTGCTATCATTCCACCCTGCCTCGCTTACCCGTCTCCCTGGACTCGGGTGTCCCCTGTCCGTGGGCATTTCTGCCTCACCTGTCCCGCCCTACCCTCCATCTCCCGCATACCCCACTGCATGGCTTCTCAGTAGCTGTTTGTATTTCCTGGTCAGTCTGCATGTTAATTACCCAGCCCTTCACTCCTCAACTGGGAGCTAGGCCAGTGGATTCATGTTGATCCAGCCTGTGGTGGCTGTTCAACTTCACTCCACTACGGAGTGAACAAACGCACGATCCTTCATCTGGGTTCTGCTCTCAGCACTGCTGATGTTGGGGCCGGATCACTCCCCGCTGTGGAGTCTGTCCTGTTATTGGTGGATGTTTAACATGATCCTGGCCTCTATGTGCTGGATGCTGGTAATTCCTCTCACCCATCAGGACAACCAAAAATAACCAAAAATGTCTCCAGACATTGCCAGACTATGACTCAGTTGAAAATTCTGGCTGTAATTCCCCAAGATGGGAAATATATTGACAACTTTTACATTGTCTGTGTTAGATTTTACTCTCCCTAAGAGTCCTTTCGTATTTCATCTCGATCTTGCTTATGTAATCATTTCATGGACTTTCAAAAAATCACAGTTAATCTTCTTCGTCTCTGTGGACTTCAGTCTCCTACATGTTACAGGAGAACATTCGATTACTTAATCTGGCCAAGATTCCTCCTGCTAATAGTCTATGGGTCTTTAATTTTAAAACAATCTTGTGGTAACCTTGTACTAGTAGATTATTACTCCTCAGGGTTCAGAGTTGCTTCTGCTGAATCAAAATTGGCCCATATTTTGCCTTAAGCTGTGATCATTGGTTGTTTGGTGGTTAGAAATTAAGCAATAAAAGTCATAGAACACGCCGCAAAGGCTAGCTTCATGCTCATCAGGGATATACTTTTGATTCACAGAAGGAGTGAATCTTATTATATGTAATTAAGGCTTCCTGATACACAGAAAGAAAATGAGCAAAACAAACATTTTCAAAGGAAATCATACCTTTACATTCCACATGTTTCTGGTTTTAATAGGCTAAGAACAATGGAAAACCTCAGTAATTAGAAACTGATTCAAACTGCATTTGTGGATGGAGTTTCTTTTTTTTTTTTAAGACGACTATAAGACAGATGAAGATGAATTTCAAAGTGCCGACATTGTGGGAAAGAGAAACTGCATGTTCTTTCAGGTTGCATGGAGTATGCTGATAAACTCACAGTTCTGAGCAACCTGAGCTTGGTTGTAGCAGAATTCGGTTTTGTAGCAGAACTGTGTGTGCGGTGAAGTTCCCTGGCACAAAATGATATGATAGGATTAGGAAGGGAAGATGCTGCTGGGCCGGTCCAAGGGCAGGGAGAGCAGAGGGACCTCCCAGGTTCTTCCTTCTCTTTCACTAGTTCCTTTCTCTTATTTAGCATCCCTGTTGCTTTCTTAAAGACCTGAGCCCCACTCTTGGAACCCAGAAGGGAAGGAAATAAACCACTCCCTAGGGTAGTCCCTGAATTCAGAGGTCACACAACCCCAGTTTCCCTGTGCTGATGCTTCCAGAGCCCATATCAGAAAACACTTCGCTCAGGTTCCTTTCACTAAAATATAACACCTATTTGGGGGAGTGGAATTTGGATTTTCCTATTCGCCCGGAGCTTAGAAAT